GGAGAGATCATCAGCTACCATCCAGATCGCACAGCTTTTTGTACCCAAAGGGAGAAACATGATGCCCGCCATAGCCACGCCACTGGACCTCGCGCCAGGCTGTTTCACTTGGGTGCCCCAGAAGGGGGTGGGTGAGAGCCCTCCCTGCCCCAAGGGACCCAGCCCCTGCAGCTCTAAACCTCCAGAACCCGACCACTGCCACACTCAAGGCCACTCCCCACACACTCGAGCAGAGCCTCACACATGAGTGAACCTATTCCTGGACTGTGGCCGCATTTTCGGCCACACGACACATCATAAGACACTCCCTAGCCATTCTTCAAGAGTACCACACCACATTTGATGGGGTTCAAATAGCAGGCAACCAATCATAGAGGGAAATATATATATATATTTTCAGATATATATATGTATATATAAGGAGGTTCACTCAACCTTTAACAGCATATTGGTGATATCCTAAAGAAGGTCTTAATGGCCCCTGCCAAAATAGAACAATCTTCACAGTTTCCTCTGTGGATACTTTGTTGTAGCATTTTCAGCTGTTTTTTATAACAAACAATACAAAATGTATTATTTCAGTTGTGCTTTGGGACAGGAATTGGGGCTTGGGATGAAACATTCCAAATATGGTGGTGGGAAGGTGTAATGGTGCTGGGATTGGTGTCTGAATATTAAATGTAATCGAATATTATGAACTACATTATAAAAGAAAAAAAATTTTAAAAAGAGGTAAGACAGAGAGAGAGACAGATTGGGGGCTTTTTTTTTATGCACAGCTGCATTTTCAGCCTGTAAATGAGCAAGTCAATTTAGAGACTCACTCCCCCACCACCACCCCCCCCCCCCACACACACACACACACACACACTTGTTGGATAGACACATGGGTGCAAATATCTGATCCCTCAACCATTCTCTCAGACACAGGGATGACTCCTCCTCACCCCAAGTGCCTGGCACTCTTTATGGAGTATTGAGAAAGACCGGGAGCAACAGAGAGGAGAAGTCTCTGGGACCCAAGGAAATCAGGATTGAGCATGGGGAGAGAGGACCAGGCCTAGCAGTCAGCAAAGACCATGCAGAGAAGGTGCACAGGTGCCCTCAGATTCTGGGCTGACTTGGGCAGGAGTGGGGGGGCAGCGGGAGGGTCTGGGCAGGGGAGCATGGGGTGGGTTCCAGGAATAGGGAGAGAGCCTCTGTGGCAGGATTTCAGGGAGATAAGGCCACTAAGAGTCCAGAACATCCAGGATAAGGAGTTGGACTTAGTTCCAGAAGCACCAGGAAGCCATGGAAGGTTTTCAGGTGAGGAAAGTATGCAAGGCCACAGATCTCACAGATGGTGGTGAGTGAGCAGGAAGGTCTGAGCACCAGGAAACAGCTCCTTCAATCGGCCGTGTTTGAGCCAAAGCAGGACAGAGGGGGCTAAAGACAAGAGCAGGTGCGACGGGGTGAAGACTGACACATGAGGGGCAGAGGGGAGTAGGAGGCTGAAACTCAAACAAGAAATTCCCACAAGCTCTCAAAGTCATAGACAGAACCCTGACCCGGACCTGCGGCGGGAGGCCTGCGAGGAGCCCCAGGTCAGGATGTCCAGTGCAGCTGGGCCGCCTGTCAGGCCCATGTGTGAGCTTCCCAGCACTGGAGGGGAGTCACATCCGCACCCACCTTCCTGCTCCGGCCCTCACCCTGGGAGCAGGGCTCGATCAGAGTTCCTCCAGCTGTCTTTGTCAGCCAAGAGGCAAAGTCACTTCTAGAGGAAGCATCAGCTCTGGAGAAGTGCCAGGCTGCAGGAGGGGAGACAGCTGTGTCCCCAAAACACAGCCAAGGAGCCACCTACCAGAGCCAAGACAGTGGCAGAAGCAGAGCTGGCAGGGGGTGCACAGCTCCAGCCAACAGAGGGACAGGCCTTGACCGGGGCCTCCATCTGCCGGGGCCCCCACCTGACTGCAAGTCAGCGCATCCAGTCCTCCCTGCCGGGCTGGAAATGATGGACCCCACACCTCTCCTGCTCCCTCAGCCAATGAGAGAAGGGTTTCCAATCTTCTCTGTGGTTTTTGTTGTTAGGTTTTTTTTTTGGGGGGGGGGGCACATCCAGCAGTACGCAGGGCTTACTCTTGGTTCTGTGCTCAGAGAACACTCCTGGTGGGCTCAGGGGGATCATAGCAGGTGGAGGCTTGAACACAGATTGGCACATGCAAGGCAAGCACCCTACCTGTTGTACTATGGCTCTGGCCCAAGGCTCTCCACCTTCTTACACCTTCTGACCAGTGTTGGCCCCACCAGACAGCTGGAACGTCCGTTAAGTAGCAGTGATGGTTTTGTGACCACCAGGATATGTCTGCTCCGTACCAACAAGTGTCAGTGAATTAAGGAACACAGACTCTGGAGCTGAGTTTGGGTTTTGTCTGTCACTTTGTTTGTTGCTGCCTCTGGGCCTGTTTGTCCATCTGTGGAAGCACAGACACCCTTCCTGAGGGCACTCTAAGGGTGAAGTCAGAGCATATGGAGAACGGGTGGTAGCAGGCTTTTCTGCTGTCTTTTCAGCTAAAGACCAAGGCTGAGGTCCAGAGGTGAGAAGCACCGACACCTTAAGAGAGGTGCCGATCACACCCTGGGGAGCTGGAAGGGCGGCTATTCAGACACAGAACTGGCCAGTGTGGCCATTGTCTTGTAGAGAAGACGGTTGAAGAATAGAGAGGTTCCATAGCCCCTACACATACATACACACATACCTACATACAAACACATGCACATGCCCACACACAAGCACGCACATCACAAATGCACACACGCATGCACAGTGAGTGCAGTACCTCCAGGAAGGACACCAGCTTTCCTCCCAGGCTGGCCCTTCTGCATCAGGGCCCTGAGGGGCACTTACAGTGTACCCTCACATCATCTGGAAGTGTGGCTCCGAGCTGTCTGGAGACACGGTGTCTAGGCCCAGAGCGGGAGGTGGGCAGGGGCCAGAGCAAACAGCCAACAGTGTCAGGGTGAAAAGAGCTGATGTTAGGGGGTGGGGGGTGCAGGGGACAGCTGTCTTAAAGACACTCCATGGGCTCAGATGAGCACCAGAGGGAAGACAGTTTGGGGGTTCAGGCTTAGGGGACTTGTGAGGGAAGTGCCACAGGATACCTGCCCAAGGTGATAGGGTCTAGCAAAAAGATCTAGAAAAGCTGCCCCTTCAGAAGACAGGACAGAGTGACCATGTCCCAGCAAAAAAGAAGCGGACAGTGCAGAGCCGCCAGGCCCACAGCAACTTCCCCAGAGGAGTCAGCCAGCCTGGGGGCAGCTGCACAGGGGGGCACTAGCTTCCAGTCCCTTTCTGTCATTTGCTTGTTTGTGTTTTCCCTTTGTGGAGGGGGTACTATACCCAGCAGGGCTTGGAGGTCCTTCCTGACAGTGCTTGGGGACTTTAGACAGTGCCAGGCCTGAATGAGGGTCAGCCATACTCAGAGCAAGTGCCTTAACCTCTGCACTCTCTCTGCCCTGGTCCCTTCTGATCCTCTTTCCTTGCCTGCCCATCACTAGGGCATCAAGATGGAACCAGCAGGACTGTACCAACTAGAGCTCCCTATCTCCCCAGTGCCATTTTCAGGACTTGGATAGAGGTTGGATTTGGAAGGAGAACCAAAGTTTTTATTTAAAAACTAACAACAGGTTATTCACGTGTGAGGCTGGGAAGGTGCTAGGGGACACCCTCCACACGGTAGAACAGAAACACTACTGCATTGCCTTCCAGGTTCAGCCTGTCCATGATCTGCACAGGCCAGAGCAAGGGCAGCTGGGTCTGCAGCACTGGGATCCCAGGGCCTCGGGGCAAGGCAGACGGAGGGGAGTTGGAGTCTAGCTGGACGATGGGCAGGTACCAGCTTCTAAATGCCAGCAGCCTTTCTCTGTTAGGTGGGACAGGCAGGCCCGGGGCTTTGGAGAGCCAGGGATATGGTTGCTCATACATAGGGGTATGTGTGTGTCTGTGTGTGTCTGTGAGTATGTGTCTGTGTGTGTCTCTGTGTGTGTCTCTGCGTGTGCATCTGTGTGTGTCTCTCTGTCTGTATGTCTCTGTGAGTATGTCTGTGTATATCTGTGTGTATCTCTGTGAGTGTGTCTCTGTGTGTCTGTGTGTGTGTCTGTATGTGCCTGTGTGTGTCTCTGTGTGTCTGTCTGTGTGTGTTTCTGTGTCTGTGTGTGCAGGCATGCACATAGCCCCACCTATATACCACAGTTCCTGGTGGAACCCTAGTAAGCACTGAGCCCATGTGGGAAAAGTCAACTCTGACATGAGGACGGAGCAGTCTGGAGGCTCCTGGGAGGAGGTGGCCTTTGTGTAGGGTCTGGCCCAAAGACTTCAGGAGAGGAAGACGCGGCAGTGCAGTCCCTTGCAGGCTGGGAGGAGGGAACCCGTGTCTCTGCGATAGCCAGAGTACGAGGTCCTCTGAATGGTGGGATGTGGTTCTGGGAAATGTGGCATTTACTGGGCTGTCTCCTTTTAAGTAAGATCTACACTGGCCACAGCCAACCTTGGCCTCCCTTCACACATCTGCAACCAGGGAAGAGTCACTCAGCTTCACCTCAGACTCCTGTTACGTCCTGGGATCAATGAGGTAATTCCATCAGCCCAAATCAAAGCACTTAGAGGGGAGTGCTGAGGACACACTGAAGCGTCAGAGAGCTCTTCCTAGCGTTCCGCTCTCAGCAAGCCAAAGTGCTCCCATCAGAGAAATGGTGATAAGAGGCTCCAGGTAGATGGAGTAACAGAAATACAACATATAAATAAAACCCAACAAGAGGCTGAGACTGGGGATCCAGGGACAAGGCCTTGCACATGCAAGGCCCTAGGTTCAATCCCCAGGACTGCTTGATTCCCCCTCAAAGCACCACTGATCTAGGGTGGTCCCCACAATAACTAAAAAATAAAAGTGGCACAAGCCTAAGCTGTGAGAACAGAAGTTGCTTCCCCACCTGCCCAGCCCGCCCCTGAAGGAACCTTCACTTACATAGGAGGCCCAGAGCGTGGTGGGGGCCAGGATGAGCGCCAGGTAGAGGCAGGGGGCCGCAGCCAGCAGACTGGAGGCACAGAGGAGGGGCTCGGCCCTGGGGTTGACTTTCTTGTATCTCCTTGAAGCCTCTGCCCCTAGGACGACCCCAAAGATGCCCGTCACAACAGTCAGCGCTCCAAAAATCAGGCTGATGGCCAAGAGGAGAGAAGGGGTGGTCATGGGTAGCTGTTGCAGATGGGGTCGGGCTGCTAAGGCCTAATCCCCCAGTCCCAGGGACAGGATCTGATACCTACAAGAAATGCTGAAGGGGGGACCCTTCCTAGGGTCTGGGACTCTTCAGGAGCCCATAGACTCACCTCCCCATCCCCTTTTCTGCCCCACCTGGGGATGCCTTTGGCCATGGATGCTCCACTGAGCACCCCAACACCTGTTACACTTCATCTCCAATGATCTTCCCCACCCTCTACCACCCAAAACTTTCCCAACTCTAATTTCTAAATCTAGGGTCCCCCAAGGCCCTAATCCCTTACAGCTCCCAAACCTAAGGGGAATTGATGCAAGCTACCTTCCATTTCCTGGACTCCCCAGTAGCTGTGGCCCTCTCTGGACACTATCACCACGACACTCGTGTCCCATCCTCCCTCCATCCATCATCACCTCTCAGGCAGCCCCTCCAGAGCACCCAATGCCTCCCGCCCCCCAGATTCATTTCAGATCCTCTTGTCTCTTGTGTCCTCCCGCAGATGGACATAAGTGCCTTCCAGGGCAGCTGCTGACCAGGCCCTCACCCAGAGCTGCCACTGTCCTGCCCACGCTGCCCTCACATGTTCTACCAGCTTTCCCGTGCCCACAGCTCCGGGCCCCTGTCACTGAGCTTTGTGTGCTTGAGCTTTAAGGTATCCCCAACCCTCCCCAGCCTCTGAGCAGTGTGGACTGTGGCTCAGCCCCATCAAGTGACCCCCAAGTCCAGGGTAAATGCTCCCCACTTTGAGTCCTGATCTGAACTGGCCTGGGCAGATTCTCAAACACTTCATGAGACTTTGGCTTGATTATTCAATGTCACAGGGTGAATGGGCCTCCTGGGGGAACACCCCAAATCCCAGAAACTCAGCAACCTGGAGGTTCTATAAAGCTGACAAGGTGTACACTGACCCCCTGCATGACCTACCTACAGCTTCCCCACCCAGGTGGGAGCCCAGACCCTCCCAGAGCCCCTCTCACCTGTCTTGGCTGTCGCATGGCTCCTGGATGCAGGGCAGTTGCAGCCCATGTACCACACGTGCCTCGAACAGAAACTTGGGGGCCCAGAAGCCCAGAGCACCAGTCACAAAGGCCATGGCTGTCACGCCCAGGGTGGACCACACGAAACTCCAGCTGCAAGAGAAGGCACCCTGGTTGCACCCAGGAGGGGTGGGCTGGGGTGGGCTCATCCTTTCCCAGCTGCGGCACCCCACAGCTTCCAGCACCTTCCACGCCCTGAGCACCTCCCAACCCAGCTCTGTCTCCTGAGCCTTCGCCCTTCCTCCTCCTCCTCCTCTCTACAGTACCAAAGCTCCTGCCCTGAAGGGCCCAAAGCTAACCCCATGCTCTCCAGAAAACCACATTGCAGCCCTGACCTCGCTTCCTCTGCTGCACCCCTGTGTGCTAGGGACAGTCACAGAGTGAGGTGGGAGTGGCCCGGGGGGGCCTGCGCCGCTGTCAGCCTACTCGACCATGCCTGGACAGGGAATGGATGCCCCACAGCCTGCATAAACAAGCAGTGAACTCCTGGCATTTTCCCAGCAGCCCTGAGAAGCAAGCAAGGTTGGAGAATTCTGTTCATTGAATCCCTGAGACTCCCGGTCTCAGGTCACTCAGGGATAAAGCGATGGCAGAGCCAAGGTTGGAGCTCAGGCCTCCAGCCTCCTTCCCTCCCTTCATCCCTCCCTCCCTCCCAGCCCCGCAGACCGCTGTGGGGTCTGAACCACAAAAGGAACAGTGGCTTCATTTGACTTTTGTTAGTGAGGTGGAGCTCAGAGGAAGGGGATTATGAACATTGGAACAGTGAGGGAGGGCTTCCTGGAGGAGGAGAGAGAAGCTCAATGGCACTGGGACTGACCGATCCGAAGGCTTGGGCAGCATGCTGGGTACATCAGGGACACTCACTTTCTTGCCAGGTATCTGACATCTTGAAACCAGCTGCTCCTCAGGCCCCCGACGACCACCTCCTCCTGCTTCTCAGATGCCCCCTGGGGCGGGTCTGGCACAAGCCCAATCAACAGGACAAAGGCTATGGCTTCCAGGCAGGGTGTGGTCTGAGGGAGAAGATGAGGGAAGCACAGGGGGCGTGTCTTCCACTCTGGGGTCCTGGGGTAACTGGGCTCTGTGGCCCCCTCTGTGTCCTGGTGGGCAGGCCTGGGCTTAACTCCAGGGTTTAGGTTCTATGGAGCTGAACAGGCCACCAATTCTTACCCATCATCCCCCCCAAGTACAGCCTCTTGGGGATGAATGGGGTTCCCCGAGGCCCCTGGGGGAACATCATCCTTCAGGGTCACTGCCTGAGAACGAGAGCTTGACTGCTGCAGCTCTCCTACGCAACACCCAAGTAACTTTCCTCTTTCCGCATCCCCCCCCCCCCCGCCCCCGCCCTGTCAAGCCTGCTGCGTGCTTCCCTTGTTTGTTAAGATGCCACTGGGCAGCGTTTACTGCCCCCCTACCCTCACAGGTGAGCGAGTAAGTTCCCAAGCAGAGGCCACTTGCTCGAAGTGGCACAGTCATAAACTGCGTGGTCAGAAGCAGAAGCCAGGGCTGCACTTCCAAGGCCCATGTTCCAGGCGAGATCCCAGAGGTTTGATGCTGCCGACGTCAGACCACCACCCCCATGGCGCCGGGTGCAGTGCCAAGTGGCAAAGGCCACTCCAAGCTGGAAAGTCCCGGCCTGCCCAGAGGGAAACAGAGGAAAGGAAAGGAAGCTGGACTCACTCGGAGGGCCCAATGCCAGTCCCCAGTCAGTTTCGTCATGGCCGACCCCAGCACGTAGCCCAGACCACTGCAAAGAGGCAAGGAAAATGGGCAGTGAGAACAGGGGCCAGTCCAGGGTCCCCAGGCCAGTCTGACCTGGGGACCCCCACCCCAGGGAGCCAGCTTCCGCAGCTCAGGGCCCTTTCACTGTGCAAAGTGAGCACATGAGCCCCAGATGGCCACTGCCCTTGGTCAAGTCATCAGTGACCTCTGGCTCCCGGCCTATCCCCAGAAACTCTGTGCACTGCCTCCCTGGATGAGGACAACCCCCATCCCACCCCATCCAGGGCTCCACACGCCTGCACCAGGCAATCTCAGGAAACCTGGGTCAGAGCTCAGGGATCTAACTGCAAATCCCAGCACATCTCCCCACCTCCTTTCCAGCGGGACTGTGCTACAGGGCTGAGCTTTCTCACCCCTACTAGGCCTGGGCCAGCCCCTAGGAGCATCCTTGGTACTGCTAAGCCTCACTACGCCAACCATCAGCATGACCATTCCTGTTTACAGAGGAGGAGACAGCGGCTTGGAAAGGCAAAGGGACACACCAAGGAAGTGCTGGGATTCACATCCCAGCCACTCTGACCTGATCTCTCCTACCTCCAGCCCAGCCCCTGTTCTCACGCCTGTAGTGCTTTTTTGTTGTTTTTGGATCTCACCAGCAATGCTCAAGGGACTGCTTATGGCTCCATGCTCAGAAGTCATTTCTGTTGGTGCTTAGGACCAAAGCCTGTGCTGGGAATCGAATCAGGATTGGCCGAGTGCAAGAAAAGCACCTTTGTCCCTTTGCTGTCTCTCTGACCCCCAACTGCGCTCCCACTTACCCCCAGGGGAGGCAGATCAGGGGGGAGACCAACCTTCCAACTGGGATGAAGATGTAGAAGACAGCCAGCACCCGGGTCCGCTGGTCCTTCACGAAGAGGTCGCCCAGGACAGTGGGGGCTATGGTAGAGAAGCTGGCCGTGCCGGTGCCCACAATGCCCCGGGACAGGAAGAAGAGCCAGGAGTGCTGGACCAGAGTGCACAAGATCTTGGTGAGCCCAAAATATATCTCACAGGATGAGGGATACACACGTTTGTCAGAGAGGCCAAGAAGAACTGGTAACTTATACGCCCAGAAGAAGAGGGGGCTCCTGGTCAGGGCTACAGACACCTGAATAGCCTCGCCACCCGATCTCCCCAAAATCACACAGGTGCCCTCTACTGGTGCTGGTAGTCATCGCCCGTCCATACCCAGAGGAGCCCTTAGCCTGATCTAAGCAGGCCAGCTCCCAGGACGGCTGCGGTTCCCCGGGCTCAGAGAAGGGGACAGCAGGAGGGACAAGGAAGAAAAGGTTCTTTAAAGAAAGTCTTAACATGCCTTTCTCGGCCCAAGTTGACGACCCTGGGGCAGCCTGGAGCCCAGAACACAGCAGAAACAACCCCACCAGCCCCTGCTGGGGCTGAATGTGGGAGGAAGCAGGTGGCAGCAGGGCCCGGGCTGGTGCAGCGGGAGGCACCTACCTGGGGGGAGATGAAGGAGCTGGCAAGGCCTGCCCCAGACCAGAGCAGGAGCCCGAAGCTCAGGATGGCCTTGCGGCTGTGACGGTCACCCAGGTAGCCAAACACAGGCGCGGACAGCAGGAGGCAGCCGATGAAGACTGAAAGAGAGACGCAGGAGCTAACATGCAGCCCCCACCCGGCAGGTGGGCAGAGAAGAACGGGCTTGACTCAGATGCTGCAAGTTGGCATCTGAGACCAATGGCCAGGAGAAGCAAAAGATATGGTGAAGCCCCCTATGCTCACAACACAAAAAACCCACTGTGCAGAGTCAGGGGTCTGGGAAGAGGTGAGGTGGGAGTGCCTGCGTCCCCAGCTCTGCTGTTTGTTCGCTGTGCAGCCTTGGGGGACTGGTTCCATGCACGTCACCCCAACATTGCAATTGACGACACTCCCCCTAAGAGGCTGTATCCAGGTGAGTGGCCGCAACATGCCCATACCTGGGCTTCAGAGCCCTCCCTACCTGGTCTGACTCTGCTCTCATGTCCCTGCAGGGACCTGCTCAAAACGGATAAGCCTGGCAGAGTGAGCATGGGGCTAAAATCCAATCCAGGAGAAGAGAGAGACAGAGACAGAGACAGAGATGGAGAGAGACGGAGAGGAGAGGAGAGGAGAGGAGAGGAGAGGAGAGGAGAGGAGAGGAGAGGAGAGGAGAGGAGAGGAGAGGGAAAGAGAGAGAGAGGGAGATAGAGGGAGAGAGAGAGGGAGGGAGGGGGAGAGAGAGAGAGAGGTGCCTGCCATAGAAGCAAACAGGGAAAGGGAGGGAGGCGAAAGGGAAAAATTGGGGACACTGGTGGTGGAAAGTGTACTTGTGGAGGGACGGGTGTTGGAACATTAAATGACTGAAACCCAACCATGAACAGCTTTGTAGCTGTTTATCACACTGTGATTCTAGTCAATAAATAAATGATGTAAATAAATAAAATAAAATCCAAATTTTATAAATTTTTATTTATAAATAAAATTAGTGTTTTATTTATAAATAAAATTAAAATAATGGAGCGATAGCACCACAGGTAGGGCATTTGCCTTGCATGCGGTGGACCTGGCCGACCCGAGTTTGATTCCTCCGCCCCTCTTGGAGAGCCCGGCAAGCCACCAAGAGTATCTCGCCCGCACTGCAAAGCCTGACAAGCTCCCTGTGACGTATTCGATATGCCAAACACAGTAAAGTCTCACAATGTTACTGGGCCCGCTCGAGCAAATTGATGAACAACAGGAGGATAGTGCTACAGTGCTACAGTTTATTAAATAAACAAATTATGTGAATAAATAAAACAAAATAAATAAAACCCAGTTGAAGAGATTTGTCACCCGGCAGGAGTCCATGCTTTGCAAAAGGAAGGCCTGGATTTGATCTCAAACACCACCAGAAGTGAGCCCCAGCTACCTTGCCAGGAGAAGCCTCAGAACACTTATGGATGTGCTCCCTTAGCACCCCCCAAGAAATAATTTTGAAAGACTAAGAAATAAAATCCAATAGTCTGCAGAAGAGGATTTACCTGGCATGGAGGCCACAGCCTTCAGGTCTGGAGGTAACCTGAACTTGGCATTTGCAAGTGGAGGGGTGCAGTCCTCACACGGAGGACTGTGTGCATGCCCACAGCGGAGTGCCACAGCACCACCACGTACCACCAGGCCCAAGCACTGAACAGCCAAGCCTATAGTGGGCCCTAGAGCACCCAGCACACTGTGACACGGCCACCCTCCCTGCTCTATCCGCACCCACCCAGGACCCCCCCCCCACCAAAAAAAAAGGAAAAAACAGTAGTCTCTGGAGCCTGGAATAACTGGTTTTCCTAAGAAGGTAAAACATCCCCCTGGGCAGCTCTTAAGAATTGGCAAGTGAATTAACGAAGTGTCTGCTCTTCTGAGAAGACAAAGAACTTGCCACTTCTTCCGCTTGACGAGTCTGTGGGTGGCGCCCTCACCGCTTCTGCTGCCTAACTCAAACCGCCTGCACCCGGGGGTGGGGCGCGCCCGGGCTCCCGCGCCGCCGGGAGGGCTGCAAAGACCGGGTCCTCCTGCACCCAGCGCCGCCAGGCAAGGCGAGGGCTTCGGAGGCCCCGCCCACCGCCCGGGGCGCCGGAGCGCAGGTGATTGACATTTCCCGGGCCCAATCAACGTGCTCATCCGTCCCAGCGTCGATTCCAGCCGCTCCCGGTTCCCCCAAGACTTGCTCGGAGACCGGGTGCAACCACCAGCGACCGAGGAAAATAGGCCAGTTGTGACCTACAAAAAGCGACAGTTCCAAATGATTGGGCCTAATCACCCCAGGAATGTCTTTGGTCCTAACAGCATTCGAAACTTTAATAGCTGCTGCTATTAGGCCTCCAGACGGTTCTCTCTGCTCACGCGCCCTCAGATTTGTCGCCAGCACCTTTGATGACACTTGATGGGATCAGTCCCTTTATTTTTGCTCCTCGACTGAAAGACAAGTCGCGTCTCGCTGGTGTTTTCATCTGCGTCGTCCTTCCGCCCAAAGACGGGGCCGCTCCTCCTCTCGGCCCTTCTCCTCTGCCTGAGTTTCTACTGGGATCCGTTTGCGAAGTTTCTCCCCGTCCTTCACGTTTGTTTTAAGGGCTCACAACGCAAGTTTGGGGGTTAGACCTGGCCTACATCCTGTTCCACCGCTGTGGGGTAACCTTGGGCAAATCCCCTTAACTCTCTTCCCTGCTGTTATAACTATACAGTGAGATTATAAAAGTACTTCCTTCCTAAGTGTGTGGAGACAATTAAATAAAGTTAAGCATATGAAGGCAGCGACTGGCTTTATGTAGCTGCCCAGTGCATCTTGCTCTTATTATTACCAATTGCATTTATACTTTCTACCATCATCATACAGTTCAGCTTTGATAAGTCAGGTGTAACAATCACCTTGAATGGCTGTTTCCTGTCTTGTTCATGCATATCTTCTTCTCCTAATATGAAAATACTTCCCAAAACTTCTAGTGCTCTCATGGGACTTGGGACAGGAATCCTCTGCAGAATACGAGCCCTTTAAACCTTCAAGTGTCCAGGGATACGCTCAGCTGCTACCACTCTGACTCCCAGCCCCCTCAAAACAGACACTCCTTTGTTCTCAGGATCTCAAATTTAAATCCCTTCCGTGGCAAAGTGGGAGTAATCCTGGCAAAGGGGTTGAGAGAAGGACTCTATGGGCAACTGCCTGCTTTCAATTCCCATTCTGCCACTCACTAGCTGTGTGGCCTTAAACAAGTGCCCTGGCCTCTCTGTGCCTTACTCAGCTTGTCTTCTGTCAAGCGGGTTTCAAAATACTACCTGCCTCATAGAATTATTGTGTAGTTAGTATTATAAGGCACTTGTGAAAGTGCTTGAGTTAACTGGCTGCTGGTTCAGTTTGAGAGCTTAAGAAAACTATGTGATAAGCCCACGTATGTGTTGATTTTAAATATTAACCAATTAGTAAACCCCAGTAGCCTGTGTGAGAGGTGGGGTAGACCAGTCCTAACCACTGACTGTTTTCCCCACTTTTAACCCCATTATTACAGCTTAACCAAGCCTTCTCTTAGTCATTGGAGTATGCATGCGTATGTGTGTGTGTGTGTGTGTGTGTGTGTGTGTGTGTGTGTGTGTGTGTGTGAATGTGTCCTTAGGACCATCCCAGGGATCCATAAAAGTTTTCAGTGGCCCATCTGAGATCAGTGGAAACAAGATTGTCAGGTGTTCAAGCCCCCACTGCCCTTTCTACTCACTTTTGGTTTTTGTTTAGTTTTGTTTTTCAAAAATTCTATTTTATTAAGCTACTCACCTTTGGAAGCCTGCTATTGCAGAGAGGACCTTTCCCTTCACTCATCTCTCTCTCTCTCTCTCTCTCTCTCTCTCTCTCACACACACACACACACACACTCACACACACATACACACACACACAAACACACTCACATACACACGAACTTATCCCTCTCCAGCATCTCACAATAATTCAGCACTACAAGATCCCGGGATGTTGATTCAATTACCGTGATCTGGGACCAGGGAGATAGTACAGGGGTTAAGGCACTTACTTTGCCTGTGGCCCATGCAGATTAGTTCCTAACACTGAATATGGTACCCAGGAGTGATCCCTGAGCACAAAATCAGGAGTAAGTCCTGAGCACTGCTGAGTGTGACCCATAAAAACAAAACAAAATCAACTACCACAATTGTTTCACCTACGTGATCATGGGTATTGAGCTCAGATGGTCTTACTTTGGCTACAAAAATAGGACAAATTAAAAAGATGACAGAATAAAGAAACTATGATACATATGAACAGTGGAATATTACTCAACCATAAGAAAAGATAAAATTGTGTAATTTGCTGCTACATGGAGGCACCTGGAGAGTATCATGTTAAGTGACGTTAGAGAGAAAGAGACACCAAACTATGCCTCTCACATGAAAGACATCAAGAGACATAATAGAGTAACAAATGCCCAAAGATAATGGAAACAAAGAAGATGAGAACCAATATTCAGTGGGAAACATGTCACTTGTGGGGCCTGGGGGACAGGAGAGGGAGGGGGCAACTTCCGTGGTGGAGAGAAGCATTAAACCAGGAGGAGGGCATGGTGCTGAAAATGATAAAGTGTTAGTTATGAAACCCTATCAGATGCAACAGTGCTGTAAACCACGGTGCAAAGATGCACTTTTTTTAAGAAGTCCTCCTTGTAGAGGCAGACTGGTGGTGGGAAGCAGATGGAGGGACAATGGTGCAGGAAGTGGACACCAATGAGGTTTGAGTGTTGAGCCATTGTATACCTGAAACCCAATTATGAATAACTTTGTGATTTTACAGTGATCAAATTTAAAATAATTTTTTTAAAGGGACAAATTAGCCCTGGTACCAGCCTGAAGTCTGAGACAAAATCAACTGGAAAATACCCCTGGTCTACAGCTGTGGCCTGTTAATGCTTCCACTTCTGTGAATCACAGCTCAGTAGCCCTTCCCACGTTTGCAGCTGACATTTAGCATGTTTTATATTCTAAGGTTAAATATTTGCAAAAGATATTTCCAGATATTTGCAAAATGTCATTTCCAGAACCGGTGTCCCTTTTAAAAAAAAAAAAAAAGAACTGCATTTAAATCCAAATTCTAGGAGATGTAAAGTAAGTTCACTACATTTATGGGAAATGTCCACTTGGAGTTTGATGAGTTAAGCCAGTCATCACTTGCTGGAGCAATCTGACAAATCTGACTGGTTGACTTTAAGAAGGCGAAACCATCAGCTTTGTTTTGTTTGGTTTTTAATGGAAATGCATGTGTTGACACCCATCATGTCTGAGTTCAGAATCCTAGATCAGTAGCAGACACCCAGTGGGGCAGCTAGATGAAGCCGGGCGCCCTGCCGAGGGTTTGTGGCCAGGAGGAAGCATTCCCTGGCTTCTGCTGACACTGCTTTGCTCCCAGGACCTTCCTAGCAGAAGCCAAAACAGCCACAAGGCATTCTGGGCTGTTTGTTTGATTGGCTGTTTTGATATCTTTGTATTTTTTGGTTTTGTTTTGGGTTATTTGCTTGTTTCTGGGCCATACCAGGCCATGATCAGGGCTTACTTCATGCTCAGGGATCACATCTGGTGGAATTTTGGGAGCTAGGGATCAAAGCAGGGGCGACCTCATGCAAGGCAAGTACCTTTCCCAATGTACTATCTTTCTGGCCCCTTGTTGGTCGTTAGTTTATTTTTATTTATTTTTTTTTTTTGAAGAGTGGGTTGATTTGGGCTACAATGGGTGATACTTAAGAGGTACTTCAGTTCAGTGCTGAGGATCATGAGGGTCCAAGGCTCAACAACCCTCTCGACCCCCACCTCCCCATGCAAAGCATGTCCTCAGGCCTTTGAGCCAACTAGCTGGCCCATGTCCTAAAGTTATCTCTCCTTTTTTCCTGGAGGTTTTTACAATTCAGGGCAATAAGCCATAGTAAAACACAGAATGAAGACTAAGTGTATTCTTCTGCTCAAAATGTTAAACAAGCGATTCTTGAGGGGAGGGTGGGCAAGAAGAGCTGAAGCTACCCGCAAACTCGCTCTCAAACAGGTCCCTTTGAGGAAATAAATATGTGAGCTTAAAGGTCTCTAAACAGATCCTCCACAACTCTGCTGGTGTCATTTTTTATGAGTTGTCAGGGTGCGGGTACCCCACTAGGACAGCCATGTTCGAAGGAGGAGGGAGGGCCTGCAAAGGGGACTGCATGTGTGCTGTGCGTGTGCCATGTTGTGCACACGTGTGCTGTGCTGGGATGGGCGTGTACATGGGTGTGCCAAGCTGGAGAATGTGTGCACATGTGTGATGTGCCTGTGTGGTACCCGCCACACACCCCAGGGAGAGGTAGGTGTCTCACAGCCCCCAGCCACCTCCACCTTGGATACGTGGCTGCTTCCCATAGCCGCAGTCGGTCCCTATGCGCCCAGTCCCCGTCTACGTGGCTGTCTGTGTATCCTGATGAGACTCAGTTTCAGGAGTCAGGAGTCCGTGTCAGGATTCCTTCAAGCCCTGCTAGACTCTGGGCTGCAGCTGAGTTGAGGAAAAGGAAGAGCCCAGAGCCCTCTACACCACAGGGCTTGGGTGCGCTGGGCCTTTCCTGCGCTCACAGCCCAGGGACTCTTCGCAGGAGAGCTGAGTCCCAGTTTCTTCTGCTCAGACACCCATAGGCTCAGACACCACCACCAACCTCAGGCTTCTCTGCTCGGGAGAGGGTTTCAGCCTGTCCCGACCCCGACCCCGCATCCTGCAGATGGAGCAGGCACAGGCCAGTTCTGCTGAGAGCCCCCCAGCCCACAGAGTCCAGCACCAGGCTTCCCTCCTTACCCGTCTGCAGCAAACCAGCACTGCTGTCATGGATGTGGAAAAACTTCTGCACGTCCTGTAGCACTCCTGTGGACAGAGAGATGCCGCTTAGAAGATGAAAAGCAGACCAGTGGGCCTCTAAGGTAGCTGCCCCACCGTGGGGTCTGACAGTACAGGACCCTCTATTCTCTCCCACGTGCACGTATCGACACTCACCCCTCCCACACACACAGGCAGGAGGAGGCACGCACATCCGTGTGCGCAGCAAGCACACTCAGAAACACACATCCCAAAGGCACAGGCACACATGTACACACTCACAGTCAAAGTCATGCGGACTCGCAAATGAACCCCCAAATAGGCCTCCTCAGAGAAATCACTCTCAGGCCTCAAGTATACAGATGTACACAGGCATCTGTACTCACAGGCGCACAGACACACAGACACACACACACACACTTGCACTAAGGAATACCCCATTTAGCTGCAGTGTACAAGATGTCACTCACATCTCAGCCACAGAGACAGCAGCCCCCTGACGGTACAGCATGTGCAGATTTTCACTTCTCTGGGCTTGTCTGAGACAGTTTGTGAACAGTTCTGAGACCCACAGACAGACACCCAAGCCTGGGAGCTATCTATCCAGAGGATATATCTCCACACACAGAGACAAGGGTCCCAGTGAGCTCCCCGCTTCCTTCCTGCCCCTGTTCGAGGCAGGTACCTGTCCCTACCAGCTAGGTCTCAAAGCCCAGGACTGGAGCAGTGACCACTCAGGTTACTGTAGAGAGAGAGCCATGGCAGCACTATAGTATTCTTTTTTATTTTGGTTTTGCTTTTATGGACCTGGTGGTGCTCAGGTGGTACTACTGTCTCTGAGCTTGGGGATCTGGGGTGTCCAGAATTGAACCCAGGGATCCAAAGTACTATCGCTCCAGCACACACACACCCGCAGCCCCCCCACGCAGAACTTTAGAGAAGACCTGGTTAATGTCCACCTGCTTCTCTGGCTTTTATCTCTGTCTCTGCTGTTAAGAAAAACAATGATGGTGCCCCTCACTGAACCATGCAGTGCCGCGGGTTGACTCCTAGCTGCACACACGTTCTTGTTTCCCTAGCAGGAAGGACTGTCTCTGTACCCATCATACAAATGAGGAAACAGAGGCTCTGGCCACCCCCTGGGAAAGGAGGAGCTGGGACTTGAATCCCAAAGGGAGGCCAAGTGTGTTCCCATCCCATCATATCACAGAAGTCTCCCCAATGGGGCCTGCAGAAAGGCCCAGATAGTGGGAAGAGACCCCCCCACACGCACACCTCCAAGGCTTATCTATGGGAAGGTGAAAATAGATCAGAGACTCTTGGCATCTATCCCCAGAACCCAAAACATTAATTCGAAAGGACATATGTGCACACCTACGTTCATCACTGCAGTTAGTACAATGACCAAGATATGGAAACAACCCAAATGCCCAACTACAGATGAATCATGAAATTTGCAGAGCACCACTGGGTGCCCCCCAAAAAATGAAAAGAGGGATAAAGAAAGATCATAATTGGGGCTGGAGAGATAGCACAGCACGTAGGGCGTTTGCCTTGCACGCGGCCAACCCGGGTTCGATTCCCAGCATCCCATATGGTCACCTGAGCACCGCCAGGAGTTAACTCCTGAGTGCAGAGCCAGCAGTAACCCCTGTGCATCGCTGGGTGTGACCCAAAAAGCAAAAAAAAAAAGAAAAAGAAAAAGAAAGAAAGAAAGATCAGAATCAGAGAAACCAAGTAAGAGACTTTTCTTCTGGTATTTGCTTGGGGCCCGGGGACCAAACATCAAGGTACATCAAGCCATGTGTCCTTCCCACTTCTCTTGTTCTCGATTACAAGTGAAGACAACCACTGAAGAGAAAACAAAAACTAGATAATATGGGGAAGCCAGTAAGTAGCTGCCTAAAAATATGCTCTATAATATCTTTCACTCTACTCTGTTGGGGCTGGAGACCCCTCCTTTCCTCCCCCAGACCCTTCTTAGCTATGGAGCGCCTTGGGGACAGCCAAGGCTAAGGGTGGACCCAGTGTCTTGTGCCTCCGAGATACAGCTGCTGCACATGTGGGCTGAGTTGCCCCCTCCCCGGGATGAATCCCGCTGCTATGAGACATGCAGCCCTGGGCACTAAGCATGGTTTCACTTCTCCAAGGCCCCTTCATCCCAATACCACTGCTTTTGTGCCCTTCTCTATCTCCAGAGGAAGCCCCCACAGGGAAGGGGCCAGCAGGGGCCTCCCAGGCAAGTGCGGGCAGAGTGGCTGCACGCCTGAGAGGAAGGCGGCTCCAACCTCGGGTCTGCACACTCTGTCAGCCTCTGACCCCTTCCCTCCTGCTGTTGGCCACATTCCAACCCAGGCTTCCTCACCTGGGGCCTGGCCCACTGCAGGAGCCTCTGACCTGACCTCCAGTGACCTTTGATCTTCATCAGCTCCTCAAATCAGATTATAATCTCCTTAAAAAATGTTCTTCAGGGGCCGGAGCAATAGCACAGCGGGTAGGGCGTTTGCCTTGCACGCGGCTGACCTGGGTTCAATCCCCGGCATCCCATATGGTCCCCCAAGCACCACTTGGAATAATTCCTGAGTGCAGAGCCAGGAATAACCCCTGAGCATCGCTGGGTGTGACCTAAAAAGCAAAAAAAACCCAAAAAGTTCTCTGGGGCTAGGGAAACAATGAAACAGGTAGGGCATTTGCCTTGCACATGACAAACCTGGGTTCCAACCCTGACATCCCAAAGGTCTCTCTCCCAAGCCCGCCAAGAGTGAACCCCGAGCACAGAGTCAGGAGTGAGCCCTGAACACTAGCCGGTGTGGCGCCCAAACAAACAAACCACAAAATAGTCTCTGGTTTCCCTTGGCCTCAACTGAAAGCCCAAGCTTCTGGCCTTGACCTGCCCCAAATATCCTCCGGGAATAATGCCCAACTTACTCCTCTGCCATCACCCCTGATCAGACCCTGAGTCCCGACTTGTGCAGATGCCGCTGAATGCTCCTTCCTTTTTGCCCGTTTCCTGCCTTGCCCGTCACTTCAGTCTGAAAGACCCAAATCAAATGCCACTTTCTCTGTGAGTTCTGTGGGAACCCTTCAATGCTCAGTCTTGGCTACTGGCTCCGCTGCCCGCTCTGTCCTGCTTTAGAGCTGCTTGTGTCCCACGTCTCCTCGACTTCTTCAAAGACCACCCTTGGGGCTGTTGTCCCAGCCCTCCAAGGCTCTCCTCTGCTGCCCTGGGCACTCACATAGCCCAAAGCCTGTGAATCAAAGCCTGGAGGGACGCAGACCCCAGACCCAGTCTGTGCCAATCTCTATAATCCCATTTCCACCAGGCCCACTGAAGGGGCTGCCAATGGTAAGTGCTCAGGAAGTCTTGACTGAATCCGTCATGAAAAGCCAAAGGAAAGCTGATTTGGAATGAACGTATGGGTGGTTGAGGAAGTAACAAGAACGAGGAAACATGCAGGCAGGCAGCAAGGCAGAATGTGTAAGGCTTGCATGCAGCCCGCAGTCCTGAAATAGCATTTCTTACTTGGGAGCTGGGCCTGGCTGCCCCATCCTCCCAGCCCACCACAGCACTCCACCCAGCACCTTGGCCTGCAAGGTCTGTCCTGTTCAACTCCCTCCTAACCCCCCAGGGCTCCCACGCCGATGTGTCCCCACTTCAACTAGGAACTTCACTGCCTCTCCCCCTGCCCTCCTCGACCCTGGCCAGGCAGATGGATGCCCCAGGATGCTGTCCCCTTCCTCACCTGCAATAATGAACCAGTTCATGTAATTCAGGAGGTTGATGTAGCAGAGAACTGCCGCAGCAACATAAGCTTTCCAGGTGGGCAGGCTCCAGGGGCCAGGCCCGGTCGCAGCGAGGCATTGACCCGAGCTGGAAGCCCTAAAGTGCCCACCGGACCCCCAGGATGGGTCTTGTAGCTGGTGTGACCCAGGCTCAGGGCACTCGGCAGACATGCCCCCAGCCTAGCCCGCCGCTGGTCTTGACCTGGTGCTGGGGCAGAGATACCGGCTCTACGCGAGTCACTTCCTGTGGGATCCAGCCACAGGCCAGCCACCCGAACTGCAGAGCATCTTATCACGGTTCCTGCAGAGCCCACCGCAGCCTCGCTGGTGCGATTTCACCAGCCCCAGCCTTGTGGCTGGTGATGGAGAGAGAGAGTTCCTGGTGCCTCCCGCCACCCTGGAGTCTGAACACTCTGGCTCCTTGGTCAGTGGCTGCAGGGGTGGCAGAGAGGAAGAGAAGCTTCCCAGGAAGAGGACAACACGAAGCTCCCAGCATTCTGCTCATGGAGAGCGTGGGCTGCCCATAACAGAGGGCCTGTGACTGAGGGGCCTTGAGATCAGATGAGGGAAGCTGGGGATGGCCACAGCGTCAGAGCCCAGGACAGGTCTGGGAGTGAAGCTGCTCGTGGTTGGCCAGCAGGAAGGTGGCCGGTGGGCCAGGCTCAGCGATGGCGTGGGGGAGGGGCAGGGAGTTCCCAAGCGCTCCTGCAATTCCCAGACAACTGGCTCAGGGGGTCGATGAGCAAGCCCAGGGATGTGGCACTGCTAGGCCCTACAGTGCTGGGCCACCCTGGGCCACCCTAACAGTGCTCTGGGACCTCCAGAGTCACTCTCAGTGGGGCTTGCGGCATTTTGTGGTGCTGGGGTTTGAACCATGGCTTGGCTACCTGCAAGGCAAGCGCCTTAATTCTTGTACTATTTCTCTGCCCCTTCTGGGGAATTTTTGATGAGGGAAAAGATGTTGGCATGGGTGTAAAAGTTTCTCTTTGTAGGTTGTTTATTAGTTACAAAGAAGGAAAAGAGACTGGGTAGGAAAGAAACCAGTCAATATCTCGTGCAAAGAATTTCAATAACATCATGTGGGCTGGAGCGATAGCACAGTGGATAGAGCATTTGCCTTGCACGCGACCGAACTGGCTGACCCGAGTTCGATTCCTCCGCCCCTCTCAGAGAGCCGGGCAAGCTACCGAGAGGATCTCGCTTGCACGGCAAAGCCTGGCAAGCTACCTGTGACGTATTCCATATGCCAAACACAGTAACAACAAGTCTCACAATGTTACTGGGACCGCTCAAGCAAATTGATGAACAACAGAAGGACAGTGACAGTGACAGTGTGTGCCCCCACTGGCCCACTGAATGACCATAATATCCTCTACACAGGATTCTGGCCAGAAATCATGACCTGAGTTGGAGGGATAGTCTGGTGGATAGGGCACTTGCTTGTATGCATCTGACTGGGGTTCAATTCCCAGCATCACAGAAGGTTTTCTGAGCACCCCAAAAGTGAGCACAGAACTAGGAGTAATCCCTGAGCAAAGCCAGGTGTGGGGAAGAAAGGAAGGCAAGAAGGCGAGAAAGAAAGGAAGAAAGAAGGAAGGAAGGAAGGAAGGATGGAAGGAAGAATTAGAGTGATAGTACAGAGGGTAGGGTGCTTGCCTAACAGTGGCCAAGCTGGGTGACCTGGGTTTGATCCCTGATCCTCAAACCCACCAGGAATGATCCTGAGCAGGCCCTGACCCAGGAGTACGCCCTGAGCACAGCCAGATGTGGCTCAAACATGCAAAAAAAAAAAGGTAAAAGGGAACCATGACTTGAATCTAATCATGAAGAATTAGCAGGCAAACCCAACTTGCAGAATTCTTATTTTTCATTGTCTTCATTTGGGGGCAGTTTTAGGCTTTGGACTTAGAACTCACAATAGTATGGACTAATGGCACAAGGTCTGGGCCAGGGAGACGTTTAAAAGAGGACAGGAGTTGACGCTTTGCTTGCGGAGGCCCAGGTTCCTCCTAGCACCACCTGGTTCCATGAGCATCACCAGGAGCAAGCCCACCCCCACTCCCACCCCGACCCCAGCCCCAGCCCCTTCCACACAGGGAGCAGCCCTCAGCCCTAAAAACAAACAAAACTAAAGGTTCAAAAACAGGCACATATGCCCCCTGCCCCTCATGCTCCCTCTCCTCCATATCAGCACCCAGATGCCGGGGGGCAGACTGGGAAGTTCCATAATGGATGTGCCTTTATTGACTCATGGACCTCATTATCCAGGAGCCCGTCGCTTACATCAGAGTTCATGCTTCCTGTTGAACATTCTGTGGTTTTGAACAAATGTATGACACATTCTCCATTCTGGGTTACAGAGTAATTTCACTTCCCTAAAAGTGCACTGAACTCCACCTCTTCGTCCAACTGTCTCTTTCCTGTTCTTGACAGCTATAATCTTTCTATTGTGTCTGTAGCTTTGTCTTTTCCAGAATTTTCTAGAACCAGAGAGAAAGCTAAAAGGCTTTGCAATGAGGGAGCTTCCTGGCACTCCTGAAATCACATGGACTTCTGAGCACTGGCAGAAGTGAGCCCTAAGGGACTGATAGTGCAGTGGGCAGGGCACTTGCCTTGCACACGGCCACCTGGTTTGATCCCAGCATCCCATATGGTCCCCTGAGCACCACCAGGAATCATTCCTGAGTGCAGAGCCAGGAGTAAACCCTGAGCATTGCCGGGTGTGACCCAAAAAATAGCGATCCTGGAGAAGAGTTGGAAGTAGGCCCCAAAACAAGCAATAAAAACCAACAATTCTATATAGAAATCAAACAGGTTGGTTTTATAAGATAACACGATATATTATGTCACATGTGACATCTCACATGAGTTATGAGATATTTATATGATAGAATCAGACCAATAGATCTCTGGCACCCAGTGGTTTTCATTTTGGTGGGGGTGTGGTCACTGTAGTTTACAAACTGTTATTAGGGCCAGGGAGACAGTACAGCAGGTAGGATACGTGAATTGCACTTGACTAACCAGAGCTCCATCCTGGGCGTTCCATACGGTTCCCGAACCTACCAGAAGTTACCCCTGAGTACAGAGCCAGGAGTATGTCTTGAGCATTGCCAGTGCTGCCCCCAAACAAACAAAAACTATCTATATGCAAACTGTTACTAGTGGGGCTTCATCCAAGAACAATTTCCGCACCACACCCTCCACCCACGTGTCCGCGTTCCTCCACCACCACCCCAGCATCCACCCCTCCCCCACTCTCTGTGGTAAGCTTCCTATTGAAGAAAAGTTCTCAGTTTCAGTTGCCTTTGGGCATTGTTATTACCCCTTTCTGTATCTTCATATCCTGCACCTGAGAGAGACTGTTCTGTGTCCATCTCTCTCCTAACTTTACTTGGCGTGATACTCTCCAACTATATCCACATAGCAGCAAATTGCATGATTTCATTTTATTCTTTACAGTTGAGTAGTAAAAATAATAATAATAATAAAAATTTTTAAATTAAAAAAAAGTTGAGTAGTACTCCATTGTGTATATGTACACCAGTTTCTTTAGTCAGTCATCTGTTCTTGGATACTCGAGCTATTTCCAAACTTGCACTATTATGAGTAGTTCTGCAAAAAACACAAGCGTGCAGGTGTCTTTTCCATTTTTTTGTTTAGTTTTGTTTGGAGGCCACATCCGGCAATGCACAGGGCTTATTCCTAGCTCTGCACTTAGGGATCACTCCTGGCAGTGCTCAAGGGACCATAGGAGATGCTAGGGATTGAACCCAGGTTGACCACATGCAAAGCAAGTGCCCTATCCACTGTATTATAATTCAGTCCCGCAGATGTCTTTTCTAGATTGGTTTTTGGATGCCCGAAAGTGGAATTGCTGAGTCATACAGAAGTTCAACACTTAGTTTTTTGAGAATTGTTTATATTGTTTTCTAGAAAGTTTGAACCAGTAGATGTTCCCACCGACAGTCAATGAGGGTCCCTTTCTTTCCCCACACCCACATTCACACCAACACTGGTTGTTTTTGTTCTTTGTGATGTTGCCAGTCTCATTGGTGTGAAGTGATTCTCACTGTTGTTTTGATTTGCATTTCCCTGATAAGTGACACAGAGTATTTCTCCATCTACCTTTTAGCATCTGTCTGCTTCTTTGAGCAGGTTTCTTCTGTTCATCTCTTTCCCCCATTTTTGATGGGGTTAATTTTAATTTTTATAAGGTTCTACTACTATTTTATATATCATGGATGTCAATCCTTTATAGATGAGTGGTAGGCAAATACCCTCTCCCAGTATTTATATTCTGGCCACTCTTTCCTTTAAAGTGCAGACTGTCTGGTTTTCAAAACCTTTTATAAAAGGTTGGCTTTGTTGGGGGTGTTTAAGGCCGTCCCTACCTCTACTTAGAAGCTACTCCCAGATTGGTGCTTGGGGATTATTCCAAGTTCCTAGAAGTGCTCCGGGCCCCATGTGGTGCTGGGGATCAGATCCAGGCCTCTCTCATACAAAACATGCTCCAATATGCTGCACTACCTCCCCAGCCCGAGCATTTAAAAGGTTTGGCCAGAAAAATTAAAATATTAGCTAGGGAGATAACTTGCTGGTAGAGGACTTGGTTTTCATGCTCAATTCTCAGCACCACAAAATATAAATAAGATTTTTAAAATAAAACAAGTTTTGGTGAAGATACGAAGAAATTGGAGCCCTCGTACATTGCAGGCGTGGGTGTAAAATGGTTCAGCTACTTCAGGAAACAGAATAGTTTCTCAAAAAGTTAAAAATAGAATTGCCATATGACTCATCATCTCTACTACTAGGTATAGAGCCCCAAGAGTTGAAAGCAGGAAAGTGCTTTTATGTAAAGGCTTGCTGTTCAGAACAGTCTGAAGGAGCAAACACCTTAGGTGTCCAACAACTGACAACTAGGTAAGCAAATTGTGGGACAAACTTGCAATGGAACATTACCCAGGCCTGAAAAGGAGTGAAGGCCACCTGCAGCTGAAACTCATAAAAGTCTGTGTGATTCTCTTTCTGGAGACAATCAGCCAGTCAGGCCCATGGACACAGACAGCAGATCTGATAGGAGGGGATGCTCAATGAGTGAGGCCTCGTTTGGGAGGAATGAAAGGATTAGGAAATGAGACTAAGGAAGCCACACAGCAATGCAGATGGGTCCAATGCCCCTGGGTAGCATGCGTTGAACGTTGACATTATGTGACTTTTACCTCGATTTCCTTTTGTTTGTTTTGGAGCCACATCCAGTGCTGCTCAGGTCTTACTCCTGGTTCTACACTCAGAGATCACCCCTGGTGGGGCTTGGGGGACCACGTAGAGTGTCAGGGATGCAATCTGGGTTGACCGTGTGCAGAGCAAACGTCTTACCTCCTGTACTCTCTCGCTGATTGGGCCTCAACTTTTCTTTCATGGAAGCAAATAAACAGAAGCCAGTCTGGTGATATGACAAGAATGTGAGCCTTGTCATCTGACAGGTCCGGATTCAAATTCCAGATGTTTGCTCCTTTGAGCTCTGTCCTGGAGCTTTCAGTGTCCTCCTGTGTGATTGAGACTATGCTAAGGGTAACTAGCCTCCCAGTTAGTTAGTTGTAGCATGCAGTGAGTGATTACTAGTATTTTGTTTGTTTGGGCCACACCTGCTGATGCTCAGTGGTTACTTCTGACTCTACACTCAGGAATCACTCCTGGTGGTGCTCAGGGGACCATATGGGCTGCCAGGAATCACACCCAGGTCAGCCACGTGCAAAGCAAGTGCCCTACCCACTGTACCATTGTTACAGACTTTTTTTCAGTGTTGGCCAACACCCAGAAGTTTGGGAGCTACCCCTGTGGGGTGCCCAAGGGTGGCTCCCATTTGCTTGGGGGATCATGGGATCCCAATGATGAAACCCAGGACCACCACAATCAAAGCCAGGTGCTCCAACCCCAAGTGTAGGCAACTATTAATGTTATGGACGATGAGGATGGTGGAGATTAGACCTTGGCCTCTGCCATCCCTCCCTGTGAAGGCTCTTGGTGAAACAGAGAGAAGCTCAGGCTCCCACGGAGCCCAGCTCTGCCCACTAGCACCCAGACTTAGAGGTGGCTGGACCTGTGAGCTTGCAGCCAACACCAGCCACTCATTGGCCAAGTCACAGTTTTCTCACCTTTAAAGCAAGGCACTAACAGTAGCTCAAAGTGGGGTAGAACTTGGTGGCTTAGAACACTTGTCTGGAAAGCTCAGGGCTGCAAGTTCAAACCTGTGCCAGGGTGATGCTGACTGGCCTGCAGCTAACAGTTCTGATGGAACCATCATTTGAAACCCCCAGAAAGGGAATTAAAAAAAAACCCACAAACCTGGGACCAGAGCAATAGTATAGTGGGTGGAGCATTTGCCTGGGTTTGATCCCTGGCACCCCAGGTGGTTCCCCTAACCCACAAAGAGTGACCCCTGAGTTCAGAGCCAGGAATAAGCCCTGAGCACTATCGAGTGTGGCCCCCAAACAAATAAACAAAAATCCCACTAAACTATGACCCGGAAATAAATGCAGACCAACACCTGCTTGGGGGGCGAGGTGATCCCAAAAATCTTGCTGAGTATGACCCAAAAACAAAACAAAACAAATAGTTCCTCATGGGGTTGTCATGGTTTAAGTAAGATACTTTTGGGAAAGGCCCAGAAATTATCCTGGTATCAAGGAAGTGCTATGCGTTTGGTAAATAAAAGGAGGTTTCCTTGCACCTATAGAGAAGACTCTGGAGTCGATGACAGGCAAAGCAACACCCTTAAATAAGAGTGTGGGAGTACAAACCCAGGCATGCAATGACCCAAGCACACACTCAGACCAATGACTCCAGAGTGTTGCAGGAAGCGAGAACCAAGAGCTGCCTGTCCTGAGGCTTTTGCCCCAGGGCGATCAAGCTCACCCCACTGAGTGTCCAGCCCTCAGCTGGCTAGGCCAGAACACCAACCTCCTGGGACATTCAAGACAGGATGTGAGATGCATGCTGAAAGTAGACTATAGACCGAACGCGATGGCCACTCAATACCTCTATTGCAAACCACAACACCCTAAAGGAAAGAGAGAGCAAAAGGAAATGCCCTGCCACAAAGGCGGGGTGGGGGGATGGGGTTGGGGGGGTAGGAGGGCTACTGGGATTATTGGTGGTGAAGGATGGGCACTGGTGGGGGGATGGGTACTCGATCATTGTATAACTGAAACCCAAGCACGAAAGTTTGTAAGTCTACAACTGTACCTCATGGTGTTTCACTAATAGAAAAAAAAAAAAAGACAGGAAGTGACAAAGGGCAACCCATGAGAGTTTCCAGGGCTGCTCAGCCAGGGTTAGCCAGGAGAGGAGCATCGATATACAACCAACTGCCCTAGCAGCCCTGGATTCTTAGGGCTGGCAACCAAGCCAGGTACTTAACCTCCACAGATGAACTGCTGGATGGAGCAGCTTCGCCAGAGAGGCGTCTTAGGAAGAAAGTGGAACTTTAAGTGCAGGTGCAGACAACCAGCAGGGGGCAGCACAGAGTCACAAATAATCGGATATCAAAACTGGGTTCCTGGGGCTGGAGAGATAGTAAAGTGGGTGGGGGCTTTCTTGCACGCCCCAGACCCGGGTTCAATCCTCGGCATCCCATATGATCTCGAGCACTTCCAGGAGTAATTCCTGAGTGCAGAGCCAGGAGTAACCTGGGTATGACCCAAAAACCAAACAAGCAACAAAAACCTGGGTTCCGACACTGAGGCACCAAAAGGAAGCTTCTCTCCTCATTTCCTCTGTTTAAGCAGCAGTGTCTGGAGGAATCAGAGAATCCCAGGAGGTCTGCTCAGCTTTGTGGTTTGCAGGTAAGTCTGTCTCAGCTCAGCTGCTGCTCTTCTGCCTCTCCCCAAGGCCCGAAGTAGATCCGTAGATTTGGTTTATTTGTCCAGAAGTCACGAGGAAAGTTCTGCTGCCTTCTGACCCCTCCCCCCAACCTGGGATCCAGAACCCCAAGGGGCCTTTAAAGAGAAGAGAGGAAAAATCCAGAGGCCTG